TGAATGGGTGGATGGAAGGGTGGATTGGTGGATGGAAGGGTGGATGGGTGGATGGAAGGGTGGATGGATGGACAAAACGGTGGATGGATGGACGGATGGAAGAGTAAATGGGTGGATGGAAGAGTGAATGGGAGGATGGAAGGGTGGATAGGTGGATAGAAGGGTGAATGGGTGGATGGAAGGGTGGATGGATGGATGGAAGGGTGAATGGGTAGATGGAAGGGTGGATGGGTGGATGGAAGGATGGATGGGTGGATAGAAGGGTGGATGGGTGGATGGAAGGGTGGATGGGTAGATGGAAGGGTGGATGGATGGACAGAAGGGTGGATGGATGGATGGAAGAGTATATGGGTGGATGGAAGGGTGGATGGGTGGATGGAAGAGTAAATGGGCGAATGGAAGGGTGGATGGGTAGATGGAAGGGTAGATGGGTAGATGGAAGGGTAAATGGGTGGATGGGTGGATGGAAGGGTGGATGGAAGAGTAAATGGGTGGATGGAAGGGTGAATGGGTGGATGGAAGGGTAGATGGCTGGATGAATGGAGGGAAGGAAGAATGAATGAGTGAGCACCTCACCACAGCCATCTCCCTCTGCCAGCCTGCCTGCTTGGCTACTACATCAGCTCCACCTGCTGTCTATTCCTGGGTCTCTCCTACTTCTATCAGGCATTCTGCCAAAAGCTACATATTTACTTCATGAAGTAGAGGCTGACTTGCTACCCAAAATATCATCAGCAACCAACAGAATCCAGTATCACACACCTGTGGCAGCAAAGTCCTTAATCATAAGCCTGGGATTGAATCCCAGGACAGCAGCACCTTCTCAGAGGACAATAGGGGCACTGGGTGGGCTATTCCATGGGTGCAGATGCTTCAACTGCCCACCCCATGGCTGCCACAGGTGAGGTCACAAGGCCAGACCCTCATTCCCCCAACATCTGTGTATGCGACCCTGTTTTAACCAATGGGGAGGAAGGTGCCACAGCCAGCTGGGGCCTGTAGGAATGAGTCTCCTCTCCAGAAAGAAATGAGGGATGGCACAGTAGATGGCATCCCTACCCTCCCTTCCTGATAGTGATGACCCCTGTGCAAGGAGCCCAGCAGGCCTAGGAGGGTGATGGGAGGCTAAGAAGAGCCTTCACTTGAAACCCTTCAAGCTGCAGCCAAGTGCTAGCCAGAGGGGGTTTAGAGTGGGCAGGTTTACCGTGTCACAAGGCAGGAGGCCGGAGGAAGGAGGCTGGTAACGAGGCAGCTCGGCAACCTGTGACACTGGCAAGGACACAGCCTCCTACCCTCTCTCTGCTCTGCCGCCCCAGAGTGTGTACAGCTCCTCTTACAGTTACACCTCCTGCTCCTTACACAGTCATGCGCAGGGAGAGAAAGCAGGAATGTCCCTGTGCTTCATTCCTTTTTAACAGCAAGTTGTAATTCTCCAGACTCCTCGTCCAACTAGCCAACTTCCTCCTGGGTACGATAATCACAAGGGAAGGGGATGAACTAACCGTGATAGTTTAGACCAATCCAGATGCCACCTTGGGGCTGTGGAGGGGTCCAGCCTTACCCAGTGGACCAAAGGATGTGGCCACTCAGAGGGCAAAGACCTCAACTGAGGCCCCTTTAGCAAGAAAGCTGGGGAGGTAGCAGGAGGCAGGAGAGGCCATTGGCCTGTGGATATGTTACTTGACGTGGCCAAAGGAATCTTTGCAAGTGTGATGAAGTCAGGGATCTTGAGATGGGGAGATTATCCTGAATTATCTGGGTGGGCCCCTTGTGAGGACATGGGGAAAGCAAAAATATTGAAATAGGGCTCAGATCTATTTTCACAGAGCAGGTATTGATGGAAGAGAAAGCAGGAGAGTCAGAGCAGGTGATACAATGATGGAAGCAGAGATGAGAATCATGTGGACCCATGAGCCAAGGTATGCTGGTGGCCTCTAGAAGCTGGAAAAGGTACAGAATAAATTCTCCCCTAGAGCTTCCAGAAGAAACCAACCCTGCTGAAAACTTCGCTTTAGCCCAGGAAACCTACTTAGGACCCTCTGACCTCCAGAACTCTAAATTAATAAATTTGTAGGTTTTTTTTAAGTCAATGAGGTTATGGTAATTTTTTAGAGCAGCACAGGAAAATTAATACAACAGCAAGCAAGAGCTCTCTAGCCAATGGACTCAAGCTCTGATGATAGACATAACCATTCATTCATTTGCTGAGCAAATACTATATACTCGGCACCAGGCTGGAAAAACAGCCAGTGAGCAAAACAAACATGGCCTCTCCCATCATGGAGCTTGAAATCCAGTGGGGAAGACATGGCAGTTTTCAATTCTTGGCCTCTCACCTCCAAGTTTACCCCTCATTACCTGCTCTGTGAAAATAGATCTGAGCCCTACATTGATATTTTTGCTTTTCCAATGAGCATGATGTTAGGCTTTGTCAGTAGAGCACGCTGGAGAGACAGTTTGGGAGGAAAGGGTTGGCTTTCTGATTCTGAGCACCTCGCTCTGCAGCTCCTGCCATGTATGAGCCTTCTCCAGCATTGGTGGCTTCCTCAGCGCCCCACTCCTGCAGTGTATCGTGGCCAGCAGCACCTCACAGCTGGCAGCTTTCCCCAACGTCCACCTTTAGTAGTTTGGTAGCAAGTGCATCACCCTGTGAACAGCTGTCCCTAGCACTGCAGAGGGCAGATTTCCATCAAGCTCTACCTGAGTGCTACATCAGCAACTTATCTGCCATTCAGTGAGCTGTGCAGAAATGTTGCTTCTGGGAGACCCACAGGGGAAACCTCTTCTTTGAGCATTATAGTTCAGCCCTCAGCCTAGTAGCTGCTCCCTTTGTCTGCCATTCCTATATTCTTTAGAGTTCTCTTCACTTCTAACTAACCAATCCCTCATTATCCCAATCCTCTGTCATAGTTAACACTTCTTTCCATGTTCATATTCTTTCTCATGACTGGACCTAGACTGAGACAGACAGGACACAAACACTCATAAAGTAAGTGTGGATCACAGACCATGATGGGATCTGCACGAGACAAGGACAAATGAGTGAAAATAGAAAGGAGGACACTAATTCAGCCAGGGTAACCAGGAGAGGCCTCTTCACACTTGATCCTTCAGTGAAAAGTGATATGAAATCAGCCTTAGTGGAGCATTCTGGGCCGAGGGAGCCAAGAGGCGACCTGAGAGGAATGAGACGTAGTGTGCCCATGTTCTCAATGTGCAAGCTTCTGAGGGACAGTGGGATTTGGTTCACCAGAGTCACATCATGCAATAAAACCAGCAAGATAATGGCATCGGCTTGAGCCTGTCACCCTCGAATCCTGTCCTTGGCCCTCCTCTGATCAGTTCTGGGTCATAGCAGTGTTGACCTCTGAAGATGCTGTTTTCTAAGCTTATGTCTCAGCTAGCAGGGTGAGATTAAGTGAAGGACTTTGCAGAATCTGGCAGGAGGAGGGAGGCGGAAGCCAGGTAATTCCTCACCCCATTCCCAGCCCTGCCTCAGGTAGCATCCTTCGCAACAGTTGAATCTCTCCCGTGCTCCAGCCCTAACCAGGCTGCTCGAATGTGATTCTGGCTGCAGCAGTGACCCCAAGGTCCTGGGCTCTGGGAATACCCCCTCCACCCTCACCCTCTGGCCTGGGGGTAGAAGCAGATTCCCACTCTTACTAGGGTGCCCAGCTCTCCTGTTCTGTCTGGCTTCTCATCTGTTTCATTCCCTGTGTATTTAAGTCCTTAAGCTGCTCCGTTCTAACTACAGAGGGATTTCTGCTTCTGGTCAGACTCTGACAACTGTGAGCCCATTTTTTGTACATTCTGTAGCTATGTACCCTAGTATCCTTACTTCATGCAGGGGTGGTCCAGCGTTAATTGCCACTGTTCTTTCCATGACTTGCTTTGAAATAAGGAAATGGAGGAGGGGAAGGGGAAGAGGAAGAAGGAGAAGGAGAAGAAAGAGGAGAAGGAGAAGGAGGGAAAGTGAAGGAAGAGGAAGAGGAGGAGGAAGGAGAAGATGGATGTAGAGGAGATGGCAGCAGTGTTATCTTCTGAACCCACAGTGAATGGAGTGCTACAGATAAAGCACAGAGAAAAGTGGTAAGGACTTAGAGATTCCCCAACCTCAGCCTGATGTAGCTGAGCTGGAGAATTTACAGATGAGTTCCCAGGCACAAGGGATGCAGCTTCATTCCATCTTAAAATACATACCCATCCATCTCAGTTCCCTAACAAGGACTTCCCTGTCTAGATGTGGCTGCCCTCAAACCACAATGTGGGTCAATGATGATAGGGATGATCTCTGTCAGTCTAATTTTCAAAAACTCAATGACCCTGGAAGCTTGGACTAAAGCACAGATCCATTCATTCGTTTAACAAACATTAACTGTGCCAGGCATTGTGCCAGGTTCAGGGGAGACAGATGTGGACAGAACTGTCCAGGATAACCCTACTGTCATGAATCCTACCTTCTACTTTTCTGGAGACAGAAAATTAACCCTAAATATCAACTAGTGATAATATCTATGAAGAAGATAAAACAGGTGATGACAGGTAGAGGGTAATGAGCTGGCAGGGGAGGGAGGACCAGTTTTGGCCAACAAGGTCAGAGAAGGTGGATCCCTAATAGTTGAGTTGGGGGAAAAAAAAGCCGGTCGTGGGAGACATAGGGAAAGTGTGTTCCCAGCAGAGAGATGCGCTCAACACAGTTGAGACCCTCAAGATTTGGGGATGGCAGAATTAATTAATTGTAAGATGTAGGGTTCAAAGGAGTCTCAACTTTGTTATTTAACTTGCATGATGGATGATTGAAAGCACCTACAGATTTTTATAGAGTATCTGGACATGGATCCCACACTCTGGTACCACACAGGAAAGTTAAAGCAGTGCAGAAGATGGTTGAACATTTCCAGCATGAAAAAGCATATTGAGCAGCTGGCTGATCCATGGACTTCCTGTCTCTGCAGAATCTCTGGAATTTAGGCTCTGGAGTCTCACCCGTGACCCTGATCTCAGATGCGGTTCCTGAGCTTGACTGTGAACATAACTTCAGCCAAGCTCATGGTAAGATGTCCAATCACCTCCAGGCTAGTGAAGCAGAAGCACAGGCAGTTTTGTGGACTCTGGGACTCTACCCTCTTAAAATGATCAGTTCCCAGCAAGGCTCTTTCAGTCCATCTGCATTTTAGAGTTTTCCAATCCATAAGTTACCTGGGGACCTTCAGCGCAAACCCAATTGACAAGGGGCTGGTTGCTTGGCATATAGAGCCACTGTTCCCACCATGTAACCCTGATGCATTTCAACAAAACTGTTTTCACTCAGTGCAGCACTCAGTTCTGATATGCATGCAGATTGAGAAAATAAAGAATAAGGGCTCCCCAGGAAACAGTTCCACAATATCCACAAATGAAAAAGGATTTACACGATAGACCCTAAATAGCTTCCAAGGAGCCATTATGGAAAGCAGTTAGATCAACTGCAATTTAAGTATATTTTCCTTGTTTAAACAGTGTATCAGGTACATGGGAAATAACAGATTATACAGTGCACTATGTTTGTATTCAAAGAAAACTTCTTTGTGACACTTTTTCTGAAGCCCCCTGTTTCTCACCATGGCAAGAGGGACGATGCCCACAAAGGTTGTCTGGCTGACGAAGATCTCGGAGACGACCAGCTCACTCATGGAGTCCTCAATCGGGTACTCCACCTGCCAGGTAATCTGCTGGGCCCCAGCCAGGTCACTGCTGTTATCAATTCCAAAGTCTACTTGCAAGATCTCATAGAAGGATCCATTGACTCTGGAAAACAAACACATATTAAGGTTCCATTTAAAACCTCGGACTCAGGAGAATGTCAAGAATGTAATAAATTGCCACATTCTTATTTCTCAACCAAAAGAATGACTGCCAAGTTCAACAAGTCACATGGCAGCGTTGACAGAGCCTAATTCACGGCTGCCCAACAGCAACCCACAGCTCAGAATGGGCTGACGATCCATCTCCAGGGCTCCATGTTGCAGAAAGCAGGTTGCCTTTCACTGGATGAGTAGCTCGGTCAGCATTTCACCTCTGAAGACGCCATGCACAGCTCTCCCCTCCCCAGCCCAGGCGCGGGCATGCCACAGTCCAAGCTCCACACTCAGGAAAGGCCCCCAGATCATTTCATGTAGCTCCACCTCTCCTCCAATCACAAAGCACACCCTGAACCCTGGCTGTTCCTGCTTCTACTTACCTGGGGTCTGTGGACCAGTGGTTAAAACTCTCCAGGCTTTAGAATTTGCAGATAATAGAGGAGACCTCATAGATGGGTGGCAGCATCAGGAGACTGAGAGTGAGAAAGACCTTCACAAACTACACGGTTTGCTACATAAACTATGAGCAACATAAGAAGGTACTATGCTGGATTTCTCATTTCAGCAAATGGGATTAGAAGTAATGTAAAGAAATACCACCTGCCTTAATTCATGTAATGGCCATATCATATGTGTGTTTGGAGGTGGGGGGGCTAAGACGTTGGTGCATTCTTTATATCTGAAAAAGACAAATGTGATTCTCAGTATTTTTATGTCAATGACAAGCCCCTTGTCATTGACATGGGCTTGTAAATTGCAGGCTATCACATCGACAGGGAAGTCACTGAACAGAGTTACAACAGAAAGCTACGCAGTACAGGATTGTGAATGACTCCTGATTCGTTAGCCTGTTTCCATCCCGTGAATCCAGCTTCACCCAGATCCAAGGAAGGTGATGGCAGAGCAGCTGATCCATAACCTCCAGCCAGGCCTGAGCCACACACACCAGCTGCTCCTTCTCTGCCAATGAGCCTGCCTGGACCAACATGTGCTGAGAAGTCTCTTTCCTGCATCTGGGGGCCTAGGCAAGGTCTGCAGTCTGGGCTTCCAAACTCACAATCTGTGAGGAAAGAGTTTTGAAAAAGAATCTGCTGGGCTGGGTGCAGCGGCTCATGCCTGTAATCCCAGCACTTTGAGAGTCCAAGGCAGATGGATCATGAGGTCAATAGGTCAAGACCATCCTGGCCAACATGGTGAAACCCCATCTCTATTACAAAAATTAGCTGGGCGTAGTGGCGCACCTGTATTCCCAGCTACTCGGGAGGCTGAGGCAGGAGAATCACTTGAACCTGGGAGGCAGAGGTTGCAGTGAGCCAAGATCATGCCATGGCACTACAGCCTGGGTGACAGAGTGAGACTCCATCTCAAAAAAAAAAGGAAAGGAAAGGGAAAGGGAAGAGGAAAAGGAAAAGGAAAGGAGGGAGGGAGGGAGGGAGGGAGGGAGGGAGGGAGGGAGGGAGGGAGGGAGGGAGGAAGGGAGGGAGGGAGGGAGGGCGGGAACGTCCTGCCTGCTGCTTGTCTAATGGACTCTCCTACCATGGACAGCTCCCTTGCACTGGGACCCCCATAGAACGGTGGTGGAGAAACCACCATTCTGCTTTCTTGTATATGCCAAGAGGTACCAGAGGAACGCTGGAATATAGCCATGGCACTGACAAAACTAAATCACACTGACCTTACTGATGAGAAATTCTACCCAAAGTGAAACCACATTAGACTCCATATAGATCTGGTCACAGGCAATCTTTTTCTCACGTAGCCAAGGTTTAAGGAACTCTCGGATACCATAGTGCCCAGTATGGTGGCTACCAGCCACAAATGGCTATTCACATAAAATAATTTGAAAATAAATCAAATTCAAATTCAGTTCTTCAGTCACAGTATCCTAATTTCAAGTGCTCGCCAGTCACATGTGGCCTGTGGTGACCTGCTGCACAGGGCAGATGGAGAACTGCTGCCCTGCACTGCAGCCTGCGAAAGCCATTTATGCACCTTCTGCCGTCAGCTTCCTCACCTGGAAAATGAATGAATAATGATAATATAGGTTTTTCTACTTTCAGTAGAATTATGAGGATGGAATGAGGGAATGGGTGTGTACTCACTTCACGTACCATCCAGTACTATGAATTCATACTTGATGAATGATAGGGGACACACAGCTGTGGAAAAGTTTAGGGGCCCTCATGGGCAAACATAGCCAGGTGGTCCCAGCTGAGCCTAAGCTTCATGCACATACTTCATTCAGGCCTACAAATCTTCAAATATCTATTGGTACAGATTGTTTTGTAAGAAAATGTGTGTTGAACAGGAGTTTCTAAACTCATGAGAGGACTGAAAGTGTGTACACACAGGACCCCCTTCCCCACTAGGGGACCCCTATTTACCTGGGTATCTTTAGTGAAAGGCAAAGAAAGTAGAGATGAAGGGCTGAGTTTTTAGCTCAGTTTTCCGCTAGAGTCATCCCTCCTGCCCTGCTGCCATTTCCCATCCACCACATTCTAGCCTAATTTCTCTTCACTGGTCACAGAAATTCTCCGCAAATCCATCTGTTAAGTCACCTCCTACAAGAGATGCTTGGTCCTGTCAGATCAAATTTTCAATTTCTCTTTGGGCAGCACTGTGCTTTGTAGCCAGAACTAGGGAGCTGCTTCCAATACCTGCTGGGTTCTCAGCATTCTGTAGACCTCAGAGAAGCTAATGCTAGGGAAGTGAAGATCCAGTGAGAGGAGAAATGAGCTCTATCACCAGCCATTTCATCCTGAAAAATCAACGTTCTGGTCCTGGGGTAAAGAAAGAGAAGTGGCCGGTCTTTGGGCAAAGAGGATAGGGTCTGTATGACAGGATCAGCCCCTCTGACTGTGGACAAATCTGCTTCTCTCCAACTTCCCAACCTGTGAGCTGCACCAACCTGCCCAAGTGCAGCAAGGAATGGAATAGCAATTAAGGCAGAGTGAATTTTATGTCAAGGTTTTTTTTAAAGGTCATTTCTCTTAATCCAGAGGAAAGAGGTCTTATACTTTTAGGCAACGGGTATGCTTGCTAATGAGTCCATTTCTATGAAAATGAGTTCACAACTGTTAATTTTACCTGTTCCTGATCTATTCTTGATAAGCCTTTCAGATATCAAGAAGTGTTTCATGATTCTCTCGGTTTAATAATTACAACCACCTTTCAGGAATCAGGATCAGTGTTTCAGCCATGAGACATTCATTAGGCAATTTTCCCTGCAGTGGAGAAGCATGCATGTGAGAGTGTGATAGTGTGTGAGTGTGTGTGAGAGAGAATGTGTGCATGTGGGTGAATGTGTGCATGTGGGTAAATGCATGAATGTGGGGGTGTGGGAGTGTGTGGGAGTGTACAGGAGAGTGTGGGAGAGAGAAAGAGAATGTGTGGATGTGTGTCAGCATGAGAGAATATGCAGCTCTCTGAGGGTGTGAGAGAAACAGGATATGTGCATGTGTGTATGTGTGCAAATGTGTGCAAGAGAATGTGTCTGAGTGTGTCTGTGAGAGGGAGAATGTGTAGATGTGTGTTTGTGTGAGTGTATGAGTGAGAGAATGTGTGAATGTGTGATAGAATGTGTATTTGTGTGAATGTGAAAGATAATGTGTGAATGTGTTGTGGGAAAATGTGTGGATGTGTGTGAGAATGTGTGAATATGTGTTGTGTGAGTGTGTGTGAGAATGGGTGTGTGTGTGGAAGACAGAATGTGTATGAATGAATGTGTGTGAGTGTGAGATAATGTGTCAATGTGTGTGATGTGAGTGTGACAGAATGTGTGAATGTGTTTCTGTGAAAGAACATGTGAATGTATGAGTGTGTAAGAATCTGTGTGTGTGAGTGAATGTGTGTGAGTGTACATGAGACAGAATGAGTGTGTGAGTGTGGGAGAGAGAATGTGTGAATGTGTGTTTGTGCATGTCTGCATGTATCAGGAGGAATCTGGTGTGGAGTGGCCACACTGCTTGGCTGTTTCTCCCTCAAGCTAGAGTACACACCTTCCTTCCAAAAGGACTTGCCTCCCAGAAAGACTGTTCGCCATGGAAACCTCCCCTTCCATAAAAGCTGAACCTCCTCTCTGGAGTCCTGGGACCCCTGAGGAGGGGCTGAGGCTGCTTTTAGTGCACGGTGCAGGTGCAGCTCAGCCATGCCAGCCAGGAGAAGGAGGAGCCATGGGGCAGCAAAGAGGGATGGGGCGCCCAACTCAGCAGCATGTCCCCAGGACCACATCCAGCTGTTTCTCACATGTCACTCATGGTCACCAGAGTGACTGCCTCACAAGACCAGGGAAGGAAAGGAGGGATCAGAAAGGAGGGAGGGAGGAAGAAGTAAAGAAGAGTGGGCAAGCCTGAAAGCTGGGACTTTTCTCCAGAAAGTTGTGTCATTTACAGGGATTAATTTTTGCAAACTTCTGGATGGTTCTGAGCTACCAGGCAGAGAAGGTACCACTTTCCCCATGTGGTAATTCTAAAAATGGGACAAGAGAAGCTGTCTCTGGTGTCAGGTCTCTGTTTTTTCTTAGGAGACTTTTTCTAGGCATTAATTTTTAAGGTGACCAAGAAGCAAGGTAAACATTGAATGATGATTACACTGAACAAATGTCCCAGGATAGGATTTGCTGGTGACTCTCAGGGAACACAATGAGAGACAGGGACCTCTGACTCCTCCTCTCGACCGTGACGACCTCCATGAGGACACAGATGTGCCTGTCTTGTTGCTGCCCTGACGGTAGTGCTGGCACAGCACCTGAAAAATTGTAGAGCTCAATGCGTATTTGTTTAATTCATTGAACATACTTAAAAGACCCAACAGGATACCCTGTAAAACTCTGGGGGGCGTGGCATTTGCATTCTGGGAGATGACACACCACCAGCCAGCAAAGCCTTGAGCCATATTCTTCCAGGCCATAGGTCAATTTATATGCTCTGCTTAGGGAAGACATGTCTG